TCCTTTTTCCAACTCGGTGATTCTGTTTGTGATTCTTTAAAACATATTTTTTTCTGACATGTTGGTGTTCTATCTTTCACATGGATATTATAAGTTGCACTGAGTAAATACAGCTGGATAAAAATAAAAATGGTCTGTCTTCATTTCAGGCAGCAAAGCAACAAAATGTGATTATTTTAAAGTGGAGTGATTCCTATCTATACGCGTTGTATATAGGAACATAGCCACCCTCTCTTGCTTGCTCCTGAAATTATGGGATTTGTAGTGTGTTTAGAGTAGTGCACATGACTTCAACTAACGTGCGCTACTTGTGAGGGGGAAGAAGATAGGTTTGGGAGCAGATGGAGAATGTTACAAGAGGCAGAAAAACACAAACCATTTCATGAAACATAAAATACAAGGCCATTAGGGAGTGAATGTGTATAAATTAGTTTTGGGGAATAAATTATATTGTTTAGTGTGGCTTTTAGGCAATTTAAATTCTCTAACCTTAGATTTCATCATTCCATGGTCATGTTTGGTTCTCTGTGTTTATTTACACCTGCTTGGTGCTCGTGGTGTCCATTCTTTCTGATTCTGCTGGTTCAACATTTAGGTGTTGTTGAATTCTTTCCACATCAGCTCATAGACAGCAGAGATGTCTGTGCTATGTTATTTCTCAGTGTAAGGGGAGTCTTCATACTCATTACTCAATGTAAGAGTATCCATTAACAGATCTCTTTGGTAGGTGTTGAGAAAATGACAAGAAATCCAAAAGTTTCAGAACAGAGTTTAAAATATAAAATATTTATATTAAAGGTATTTGCACATAAATGTAGCAACCAAAAACTCCATAGAAGAACCACCCAGATAAACCCCCCAAAAAATAAAAAAAATAAAACCAAAGAAATCTGAAAAAGTGACAGATTTAGTTACACTAGTGATGTAGTTTTTAACACCCGTTTTAATATAGGCTCTAAGGCAGTCTTGTTGTCCTGTTGTTCCCTTTTGGATTGCTTAGGAGCAGTGAATCTGTTTATTATTGTGTGCAAATACTAATGTTTGATATTAACAGTAAGGAAATCGTGCAAAATACACAGCTATGCACATGATTTGAGGTCATATACAATGCAAAGATTGCGTTTCCCACCCAGACAGTACTCAAAGCAGACCTTCAATGAAACAGGATCTCTGAATGGAGGACAGGTGGATGATTGATAGATCCTCCTCCATTCATAGATTTATAGATGGTGCTCTCCTTCCATTGGTGCATGTTTTACTTGCTTATTTTCTTCTCTCACTCTTGTTCTCTCCTAAAATATTGTTTTCTAGCAAAAACTCTTCTATGTACTCTTTTTATTAAACTCTCAAGTATTTTCCTGACTTAAGAAGCTAAACTAACTGGTCTGTAGTTCCTTGCTAAGAATTTGATACCTTGAGTTGAGTTCTAAAATTCAGCCACTGTTCAGAATTTGGGGTTCAATTGCTGAAATTCAGTTTCTGGCACCACTCCATTTGACAAAAGTCCATTGTTCAATTGACTTTTAAGGAATTTGTTGGCTGAGCAGTGACTTTTGCCAAACAGCTGTAGTCAGACTTTGGGTATTCTGACAGCCTCTGGCACAGGCTCTCAGAATTCATTAGCCTGGTAAGGGAATTCATCTGCATCCAGGTACTCCAGTTTCCTCCCACACTCCAAATACATGCTGGTAGGTTAATTGGCTCCTGTCTTAGGGAAGCTTAGATTGTAAGCTCCTTGAGGGCAGGGATTGATGTGAATATTCAATACACCCTGTTCCAAATTATTATGCAAATTCTATTTAAGTGTCACAAAGATTAAATATTTTGTTTAACTCATGGATGGCATTGTGTGTCAGGGCTCTTTTGATCACTGAAAACAATCTCGGACACCTGTGATAATTAGATTGGCAGGTCAGCCCAATTTAAGAAAAAACTACTAAAGGAGGGTGTTCCACATTATTAAGCAGAGTACCATTTTCAAGCAATATGGGGAAGAAAAAGGATCTCTCTCTCTGCTACCGAAAAGAGTGAAATAGTTCAATGCCTTGGACGAGGTATGAAAACATTAGATATTTCACGAAAACTTAAGCGTGATCATCGCACTATTAAGAGATTTGCGGCTGATTCAGAGCACAGACGGGTTCATGCAGATAAAGGCACATTGAGGAAGATTTCTGCCAGATCCATGCATCGGATCAAGAGAGCAGCTGCTAAAATACCATTACATAGCAGCAAACAGATATTTGAAGCTGCTGGTGCCTCTGGAGTCCCACGGACATCAAGGTGTAGAGTCCTCCAGAGTCTTGCAACTGTGCATAAACCTTCTATTTGGCCACCACTAACCAATCTTCACAAGCAGAAACTGCTGCATTGGGCAGAAAAATACATGAAGACTAATTTTCAAACAGTCCTGTTCACTGATGAGTGCCGTGCAACCATGGTTGGAGTAGTGGATGGTTGGTGGACGGTCACCCTGTTCCAACAAGGCTGCGACATCAGCAAGGCAGTGGTGGAGTCATGTTTTGGGCCGGAATCATGGGCACAGAGCTGGTCGGCTCCTTTAGGGTCCCCGAAGGTGTAAAGATGACCTCTGTAAAGTATGTTGAGTTTATGACTGACCACTTTCTTCCCTAGTACAGAAGGAAGAACTATGCTTTCCGTAATAAAATCATCTTCATGCATGACAATGCACCATCTCATGCTGCAAAGAATACCTCTGCATCAATGGCTGCTATGGAGATAAAAGGAGAGAGAAAGTCATGGTGTGGCCTCCATCCTCCCCTGACCTCAACCCTGTTTAAAAAGTTTGTTAAAAGTTTGATTGAAATAGCTTTTGATTTCAGTAAACATGCTGCAAGCACAACAAATGACAATTTTCAGTTCTTTACAACCTATAAAGTGTTTTGAAACTTACTGTGTGTAATAATTTGGAACAGTGCATTGGAAGTTTTTTTTTTTTTTTTTTATGTTTAAAAAAAATACTGTTATTAGGAGGTTTGTTCAACAAAATTTGAATTGTACTCTTAATAGTTGATAACATGAGAATTATGCTGACTGTTATTTACATCAATTTAGGTAAATGAAAAAAATATAATTTGCATAATAATTTGGAACAGCGTGTATATGTAAAACGCTGCGTAAATTGATGACACAATATACACGATATTGCCAAAAGAATTGGGACGCCTGTCTTACATGCACATTAAATTTTATAGCATCCCTTTCTTAGTCTGTAGGGTTCAATATTGATTTGGCCCTCCCTTTTGCAGTTATAACAGCTTCAAGTACTCTGGAAAGGCTGTCCATAAATTTTAGGAGTGGCTATGGGAATGTTTGACCATTCTTCCAGAAGCACGTTTGTGAGGTCAGGCACTGATGTCAGACAAGAAGGTCTGGCTCACAGTCTCCACTCTAAAACATCCCAAAGGTGTTCTATCAGGTTGAGGTCAGGACTTTGTGCAAGCCAGTCAAGTTCCTCCACCCCAAGGGGCCATCCCCAAACGGTTCCCACAAAGTTGGGAGCATCAAATGGTCCAAAATGTCTTGGTTTGCGGACACCTTAAGAGTTCCCTTCACTGGAACTAAGGTGCCATGCCCAACTCCTGAAAAACAACCTCAAACCATAATCCCCCTCCACCAAACTTTAAACTTGGCACAGTGCAGTCAGGCAAGTACCGTTCTCCTGGCAACCTCCAAACCCAGACACGTCCATCAGATTGCCAGACAGAGAAATGCGATTTGTCACTCCAGCGAACGCATTTCCACTTCACTAGAGTCCAGTGGTGGCGTGCTTTACACCACTGCATCCAAAGCTTTGCATTGCACTAGGTGATGTGAGGCTTTGATGTACCTGCTCGGCCATGGAAACCCATTCCATGAAGTTCTCTACGCACTGTTGTGCTAATCTGAAGGCCACACAAAGTTTGGAGGTCTTTAGCTATTGATTCTGCAAACAGTTGGCGACCTCTGTGCACTCTGTGCTGCAGCATGCACTGACCCTAAACTGTCATTTTATGTGGCCTACCACTTCGTAGCTGAGTTGCTGTTGTTGTTGTTTCCAGTTTCTTCCACTTTGGTATAATACCACTAACTGTTGACCATGAAATACTTAGTTCAAGGAAATTTCACGGATGGACTTATTGCACAGGTGGCAACCTATCATGGTACCACGCTTGAATTCACTGAGCTTCTGAGAGCGACCCATTCTTTCACAAATGGCTGTAGAAGCAGTCTGCATGTCTAGGTGCTTGATTTTATACACCTGTGGCCATGGAGGTGATTGGAACACCTGAATCCAATGATTTGGAGGGGTGTCCCAATACTTTTGGCAATATAATGTAAGTACCTGTAAAGAAATAAATGCTAAACAATAGAAATCTATTAGTTTATGGCCAGCTAAAAATTTAATTGGTTCAGCTAACCTTTTAATTGCAGGGTTTTCTGAATAGAAGTGTCAGAAGTGTGGGTCTCTCACAGTCGCATAATTTCTGACTGGTGGAAGCCTGTTTATTTTCTCTTGTATACCCACTTGAGAACTAAGGAATTCATATTCCTGTATGAGTACCAGTGTGTTGGTAAATTTTCACCATCCCAACCACCTTCCCACCTCCTCACCCATCCCCCCCTGCTGGGACGTTGTATTCTGACAGCGGTGTCTGTTGCTGTCAGAATACACTGATCAGCATCTGCTGACTGAGAAATATTTTCCAACATTGTCCCTTCAACAGAAGTCAATTAGGGATGGTCACACACTAGTGGAAATTTCAATCTGTGTATGGCCAGCTTTAGTTGTCTCTTGTCACTTTTTTGCATTTTCTGCAGTTTATTACCTCAAATGAGAAGAACTGGAAACATTTTAAGGGGTAATTGGTCTTTTTCCAACTCTGATGGTTGATTCTGCCACCATAGAAAACTGAGAGTAGGCCTATTTTTTGCTCAAAAACATATTTGAAAATGGAATTAAATGCTTTGTCTGGCAAACTAACAATATTTTTTTTTTCTTGCTGCTAGATGTTGCAGGACTGTGCAAAAGCACGTAGAGAAGTTGAGTTGCATTGGAGAGCGTCTCAGTGCTCACACATTGTAAAGATACTTGATGTCTATGAAAATCTCTACCAGTCTCGAAAGTGCCTGCTCATTATTATGGAGTGGTGAGTCTGCTTTTATCAAAGTAGCATTTTTGCTAATATATTTAGAAACCCTATGACCTTGCTGAAGATCTGGTCTGTCATAAGGAAGAGTAAACGTACAAAGTTTAAAAGGAGCATTAATACTTGTCCTATTGCATTTGCTGCTGATCTGCGCTTTTCTGAATAACTAAGCTTGAAGAATCTTCAGCTTGTGACATGCTTTTGGGTGTGTCATAGGATTGGTTCTCTACTGCATACTGTACTTCCTTTCAACAGGTTCTATTTCATTACTTTGTCCTGTAGTAGTATTTGGGCCAGCAAAAGTGTTAAATATGTGTTGTGATTATCCTTTCCTTTTTTTTTTTTTTTTTTTTTTTTTTTTTTTTTTAACATCATCATTCTTTGTTTGGCAGATGTCTGCTTGGGCACCTTCATATTCATAATATCTTCATATTAAAGTATATAAAATCCCTCACCTTGTGAAACAAACCATTCCGTTTAAAATAGAAATGAAACGCAAAACATTAAGGTATACCTATAAAAAAAAAATATTATAAATTAACTTTTTTTTCTTCCCAGTGAATGGCTGTGCAGGGGGTACTGCCTGCACAAGCATAATCATTGTATTAGCTCCCAGCACAGCCAGAAAACTGACCATGCTGTGTTCTCATGCCTAGGAAGCAATAAGAAGAGAATAGATTACTTTTAAAAACAAGCACATGATACAAGTGTATTAGAAATGTAAAATTTTGGGGGTAAATATTTGCAGAATGTTAACCCAACAGTTCATATTCCTGATATGTGCCTGTTGTAGTGTGTACTGACCACGCATCCCAGCGTGGTCAGTTTTCTGGCTGTGCTAAAAGAACAGACTGCCTGTCCTTCAATGGCCAAGACTTGTGCTGCACAGCATTTGCTGGGAAGATCAGCTGTTTCTTCTCCCCCAGCTCTCTAAGCTCCTTCTGCAGCTGAGAACAGAAGTATCGCTTATTAAAGGAAAAAAGGATATTTTCTGTATACAGCAGGTAAAATAAATATTGAACATGTCACCATTTTTTCTCAGTAAATATATTTTTAAAGGTGCTATTGATATGACATTTTTACCAAATGTCGGTAACAACCCATGCAATCCATACATACAAAGAAACCAAAACAAATACGTTCAGAAATTAAGTTATGTGTAATAAAATGAATGACACGGGGAGAAAGTATTGAACACACTAACTGAAATTTATTTAATATTTCATACAAAATCCTTTGTTGTACTGACAGCTCCAAGACTCCTTCTGTATGGAGAAACTAGTCACATGCATTGCTGCGGTGTGATCTTTTTGCACCATTCTCTTTCATACAACCAGTCTTCAAATCTTGAAAGTTCCGTGGGCCTCTTCTATGAACTCTGATCTTTAGATCTTTCCATAGATTTTCTTCTGGATTCAAGGCAGGTGATTGGCTGGGCCATTCTTGGAGCTTTTCTGTCTTTCTTTAAAATCAATTGAGAGTTTCTTTGGCTTTGTGTTTTGGAATCATTGTCTTGCTGAAATGTGCACCCTTGTTTCATCTTCATCATCCTGGTAGTTGCAGCAGATTTATCAATATCTTTGCACATTTTATCATTCATCCTTCCAACAATGATCTGAAGTTTGCCAGTACCGTATGCTGAAAAACAGCCCCCTTCAAACTTCACTGTTGGTATGGTTTTTTTGGGGTGATGTGCAGTGCCATTTGACCTCCAAACATAATGTGTATTATGGCATCAAAAGAGTTCAATTTTGCCCTTATCTGACCAGACTATATTCTCCCAGTATTTCACAGGCTTGTCTAAATGTTGTGCAGCAAACTTTAAACAAGCTTCAGCATGCTTTTTCTTCAGCAATGGAGACTTGTGTGGTGAGTGTGCATACAGGCCATGGCGGTTAAGTGCACTGCTTATTATTTTCTTTGAGACAATTGTACCTGCTAATTCCAGGTCTTTCTGAAGCTCTTGGCTCTTGAACAACTCTTCTGATCATTCTTTTCACTCCTCTGTCAGAAATCTTGCAAGGGCATTTGGTCATGGCCGGTTTATAGTGAAATGATGTTCTTTTCACTTCTGGAGTATGGCCCCAACAGTGCTCACTGGAACATTCAGAAGTTTAGAAATCCTTCTGTGACCAATGCCCTCAACATGTTTTACAACAATAAGATTATGAAGGTCTTGAGAGAGCTCTTTTACCCATCATGAGATGTTTCTTGTGTGAGACCTCAGAGATGAGACCCCTTTTTATAGGCCATCAGTTGAGACTGAACCAGCTGATATTATTTTGCGCTGACAAGGGGCAGGATTGCTTTCCAAATACTAATAGATTTCAGCCAGTGTCTTGACTTTCCATGCCTTTTTTTGCACCTCCCTTTCTTCATGTGTTCAATATTTTTTCCCTGTGTAATTCTATTTTCTTTCACATAACTCAATTTCTGAACTTATTTGTTTTTCATGTCAACAGCACCTTTTATTAATGTATTTATCAAGAAAAACGGTGACAATACTTATTAGACTCGGGGTGTGTGTGTGTCCACAGGCCATATATACAGCTTAGACTTCAAGCGGTTAAAACAAGTTCATGTCCCAGGGCCACAGTAAATGCGGTGTTAAGGGTGTGAGAACAGAGGAAAATTGGGAAACCTATGTTCCCCAGTATATTCTGCAATCACTCAAGCCAAAAGTGTTCATCTCTGAATAACAGCACTTTAAGACCTGAAAGTCTGGGCTGAAATTTCTGGCGCACAGTTTTCAGCTTGATAGACCTGCCTTGGAGGGTAAGAGGACATTAGGGACTAATAGTCCTCTGATGTTTCCATTAGGAGAATCTGCCAATGCTATCACATAGGAGGGTTGTTGGCCTCCTTGTGATGGCAACAAAGTTAAATGGGGGAAAGAAAGTGTTAAAGATCAAATGATCTTAAGATTCATGTGTATGTAAGCAGACATTGTACAATACCTGTGAGGTATTGCCGTAAATGTGGAACTACAGTAAACCCATCAATTTAACAGCTTCCCAAAACCATCACATTCAAGGCATGCTGTTAATGAAAACTGTCACAGCAACTTGTATGCTCAACCAAACTACCAGGCCATCAAATGGATGGTGCCATAACTGATCACATGTGCCGTTCCATGGCATTTGCGGATAAAATGGAGGCTACGAAGCTTTGTTAGTTGTAAAATAAAATTTTGATTCACTTTACCTCCAAACGTAAGATCTGGTAAAGGCTTTTAACCCTTTTAGAAGCTAAATGTTGAAGCTATCTCGTTGGCAGTGGCGGGGGGGATTGAGGTTTACACACACTGTGTAAAATTGAATGAGTTTAAATCTGACAAGCTGATATCCGTTGGCTCCCTTCCACACAAACCCTGGTAATGGCCACAGCCCTCCCTCTCGTCTGTTCTCTGGCCTCAAATTCCAGGCACAGACATATGTCTCTAACCACAGGGAACCTCTCTGGGTGTGGCTACACGCGAACAGCAGGATCCACTGTCAGCCTGTCATTAGTTTAAACAGGCTGAGTGGCTGCTGCTATATGCATGCTCCAGTCATTCCATGGACCACTTCTACAGTTAGACAGACTATAAGCACCATTAATAGAAAATAGCCACAAGGTTTTTGGTTTTGTTTTCTTTTCCTCTCAAACGTAACAAAGATGTTTGCAGTGAATAGGTACGGACTCTTGGTCTGCAACTAGTGAGTGATTACCGATCAGATCTTGTGGTCCCTGTACAAGCTCCCCTTTTGGAAGTCTCCAGTGGGTGGTCCAGCTACAGATAGAAGACTTTGAGTAGGATATTAATATAGATTAGTGATGGTACCTATGTTTTGAGACACATAATGATGTGTTAAATTGACCTTGGAGGAGAGTTGTTAAAGTGGTTGAAAAGGTTGAAAGTTTTGGGTTTTTTTTTTTGTTTGTTTTTTTGTTTTTATACCTCCATGCATTCTATGCTTGAATCTAAAATTTTAATTAAAAAGTGTGCTGCTCCCCCCACAGCCCACCCTTATGCTTACCTGAGCCCCTTGCCATTTGCTCCCACTGCTGTCAATCACAGGCAGCGAGCCAATGAGGAGAAAGCAGGGGTGGGACCGAGTCCTATGAACACGTAGAGCGGAGCTTGGGAGCGAGCATGCACCAGTGCAGTGCAGGCGCCGTGATGTTGGGGCATTGGTCAAGGGGGAGGAGCCAGGACTGCCAAAGGATGACCGAAGAAGAGGATTGAGGCTGCTCTGTGTAAAACCATTGCATAGAACAGGTAAGTATGACATGTATGTTATTAAACAAAAAAAAAAAAACACTTTAATATCACCTCAAAGGATAAGTTCACCTTTTTAGGCAAAAATAATACATGCACATTTTTTTTTTCTTTGTAGGTAAAAAAAATGTGCATTTATTATTTTTGTCTACAGGAGCCTGGAAAGGACTGCACCAGCAATCAGCAGATCGCTGATGCCATGCAGGTCTCCTGCAGACCTGTCAGAATATCTGCTTGCCATACAGGATGTACCAGCAAGCTATTTTGACAGGTAGCTTCAGTGAACTACCTTGGTGCTCCACAGCTCCATGGTAGTTCATTGAAAACTACAAGCCGACAGCTGCTAAGGCTGTCAGGACTTGCAGTTCATTAATTCACAGTAGTCTGTATATGAATGATGCGGCTGTGTGGGCGGAGCCCCGCTGTTTTCAAATTTGACAGTACGGAGAGACTTCTCCCCGTACTATCTGCCAGGGCCAGAGCTACGGCTATGGGGAAATGTTACATGGTCCACCCTAAAAATGGGTGGAACATGTAACATGCTTTAAAAGGTGAACTTATCAAAATTGACGGCCAAAACATAAAAAACCTGCACTATGCAGATGACACCACCCCAACACTAGCAGCAAAGAATATATGCTGTATTTACTGAGAAAATTTGGAACTGAAAGTCGAAATATGGGATTAGAACTGAATATAAACAAGACTAGGATCATGAACACAGAAAATGATGGTTTTGAACTTTCAATGGTTATAGAATACAAGTTGTAAAGCATTTTAATCTCCTGGGGGCTATTTCATAAACAAAGAAAAACTACTAGTGCAGTAATACTCTGCAGAATAGCACTTGGTAGCCACACAATGAAGACTTTTGACAAAGTATTTAAAAGTAAAGAAATTACACTCAAAACAAAGATCAGACTCATCCATGCACTCATTTTCTCAGTTGTTAATTATGGCTGTGAAAGCTGGACATAATGAAAAAGGGACAGGAAGAAGATTAACTTTGGTGCCGTAGAAGAATTTTATGTGTGCCATGGACAGTCCATAGAACTAATATTTCAATTTTGAAAGCCATCAGACTGGCTATGTCACTAGAAACTCAAATGATGATGTTACGACTGTCCTATTTTGGTCACACTGTTAGAAGAGAGAGATTGCTGGAGGGAAATAATAATTGGGAAGATCAAAGGCACAATGCAAAGAGGGAGACCAGCTACTAGATGGTGGGACACATTAATTACAGCTGTGGGAATTACACTGGAAGATCTCACCACACTAGTGCAAAACCAACTTCTTTTTAGAACTCATTCATCAAGTCTCTAGGACTCAAACTAGAGTTGACATCACTTAAAAAAAAATGTAGCTGGAGAGGTGAGGGACAGCCAAACCTCCTGTCATTCCATTCTTTAACATTTCTTTGTATGTCTTCAGTCAGATTGATAAAAAGATAGCTGGTACTCCCTGTCAAAGAATATAAATTGTCGCTCAGGTGTACCATTCACCATTACCCTAAATCAGATTGTTTATTCTCCACAATGCTCTGGTGTTGGATATTTCCCTGGGACAGAGTGCAAACAACTTTTATTTGATTTAAGTTAAACTTGTGATCACATGTATGGTTAGAATTGAGGCCTCAGTCATTATATCTGGTGTAAAATTACACAATTACTTAATCTAATGCCTACTATAGTCTACTACAAAATTACATACGGTAACCTTTTTGGCATGTGTGCTGTAGCTGTAAGAGTTGGTTGTCTGTTTGTTTGTGTTTTTATCCCGCAGTTCCTATTTTTGAACAGTTTATTGGGAAAAAAATGATTTCTCTGTAGCTTCACATTTTGAAATTTATTACATAATATTAAATATTCAGAGCAGTTCTCATGTTTATTTTGTGGTGTATTTTTTGGACCCTTTCAGATACTCTTGAAAAAGTTCTCCAATATTAGAGTAACATTTTATCTATTTTTTATGCATTATTATTTTTTTTTTTATTACTGGCAATCTGTATGTTGCTAATTCTTGACTCTTCTTGTTCAGTCTTGATGGTGGAGAGCTCTTCAGTCGTATTCAAGATAGAGGAGACCAGGCATTTACAGAACGAGGTATGTATAGTTTTTGCTAGTGGTCTTTTTCTGTGGTGCTGTTAATGAATATTTGTTATACTACCACTGAGCTTTTTTTAAAAGTGCTAAAGTGTATGTCTAGCTAAAACTATTTTTTTTTTTTTTTTTAAAGTTTTAGAGTGGGGAAGAATTCAAACCCATGTCTGGTTTTTACTGCTCTCTGGATTTCACTAGACAGTAAAGAAAAAAAAAAACAAAACAAAACCTCCCAAAAGAAACACAGAATGTATAGTATATAATAGGGGAAACTGTGAATCCCTGTAGGCTTTTTATTACTGCCTGTGTCCCTGTTTCATATTTTCCACTTGGTGTCACAGTGACAACAGTTTTACCAGACAGGAAGTGAATAGAAATCTCTCTAATGGAGCCCTGGATAGCGGTAAAATCCCAGCATGGGTTCTAATCCTATCCAGTATTAAAAGGTTTTGGCTGGACACTTTTTAAATCTTGCAAATCTTGCAGAGTCATTGGGGGTTGGTGGAGGTCGGGCTATCCATTTGCTGTATGTATAAAGGTGTGAGTTCATTCATTATAGCAGATTTTACTATTTTTTTTTTTTTTTTCAGAGGCTTCTGACATCATGAAAAGCATTGGAGAGGCCATACAATATTTACATGCAATCAATATTGCCCACAGAGATGTGAAGGTATTAGCAATTAGGTCTCTTTTTATATTACTAAAAGTGTAAGTGATGTTGAAACTTTGTCTTGTAATCTTGATGCGTTGTAGAATTCACTTTCTGTCCTAAATTTGAACTTTTTCGATAGAATCGCACTTTTTAGTGCACTATAATTGGGCAAAATGTTTTTGCTTTTATTAACTTTTAGCCCAGCGAGGGGAAGGAGAGTTCCTGACGTGCAAATGTATGCAAACTCATTAAGAGTCTTCAAAATATGTCTCCTTCCCATTAAACTCCACATCAAAGCAAACCTGCTCTGGATGACTTTTTACCTTGCTACACAATTGTTTTCCTGTGCAGTTCTTTACCGCATTTTTGTACTTGCAAACAACGTTGAACCAGTTGTATCTCAGTACTTCACCACTCTAGTATTTTTTTTTTTTTTTTTGCAATGTATTCCTGTGCAGTTTCCACTTGAGAAATATTGCTCAGCTGCATCCTATGTTATCATACACTGTAGCTGAAAATGATGCATAGATTTGTGTTCTTCTGATTTGACTACTGCGGTGCTCTACTTGCTGGTGTACCTAAATCCACTATTATTCAACTGCAACATGTACAAAATTATGCAGCTAGAATTCTCACTAGGTCTGGTACAAGGAATCATATTACCTCTATCATGGAGCCTTTGCACTGGCTACCCGTCAGGTTTCACATAGACTGTAAGATCCTATTGCTCACCTATAAGGCTCTTCGTGGCTTTGCACCCCACTATCTGTCTGAGCATTGTCACATGAGGGGAGTAGGAGGGATTGTGAGGGGTTTAGGGGTCTTTAGAGGGACACTATCACTTTGCCCTGAATGGTCAAGATAATTTTGCCTTTAACCACCTTCCGCCTCCCATATAGTACAATGACGGGTGCAAGGTGGTTCTCTCGTTCTGATAGGACGTCATATGACGTCCTTCCATTCTCACCGCACATGCGCGGCTCAGGGAGCATGCAGCGCGGCGATCGCCGGTGCGCTGTGTCCCTCGGACACAGCGGATCACGGAAAGAGCCGAAGATGTCGGCTCGGTCATGTGATCAGCTGTGTCCAATTACAGCTGATCACGTGTAAACACGGAAATGCTGGTTATCGGCATTTCTCTCCTCTTGAGCTGTCACGCTGACAGCTCGAAAGGTGAGGAGAGCCGGTAATCGGCTTTCCGTGCAGGGGACATGTACACTGATCATCAGGGCACTGATGATCAGTGTGCCCTGATAATCAGTGTGGCCCCAGAAGTGCCACCTGTCAGTGCTCATCAGTGCCAGTGCCCATCAATGCCACATATCACTGCATACCAGTGCACATCAATGCCACATATTAGTGCCCATCTGAGCTGCCTTTCAATGTCACCCATCAGTGCCACCTATCAATGCTGCCAGTCAGTGCCGCCTATCAGTTCCATATATCAGTGTCCTGTATCAGTGCTGCCTTTTAGTGCCCATCAGTGATGCCTGTCAATGCCCATCAGTGCAACCTACCAGTGCCTCCTCATCAGTGCCACCTATCAGTGTCCATCAGTGCAGCCTATCCGTGCCCATCACTACAGCCTCATTAGTGCACATCAGTGAAGGAGAAAAATCACTTCTTTACAAAATTGTATAACAAAAACTAAGAACTTTTTTTTTTCACAATTTTCAGTGGTTTTTGGTTTAAGAAAAAATAAAAATCCCAGAGGTGATTAAATACCACCAAAAGAAAGCTCTATCTGTTCAAAAAAATTATACAAATTTCATATGGGTACAGTGTTGCAATAAAGCGCAATTGTCATTCAAAGTGTGACAGCGCTGAAAGCTGGAAATTGGCCTGGGCAGGAAGGGGGTATAAGTGCCCTGTAGGCTAGTGGTTAAAGAGACCCTTAACTCGACGTTTTACCTTCTGTTCTCTCATTTTGTTATTGCTTACAGTGGGGAAAATAATGATTTGATTATTAGATTTTTCCACTGACAAAGAAATGAAGGCTCTATAATTTTGTATGGTGTATTTTAAATGATAAAAACAAAACATCAACTACAAATCCAGAAAAAGCACATGATACAAATGTTATAAATTGAGTTGTAGTTCAGTTAGTAAAATAAGTATTTGATCCCCAAGCAAAATAAGACTTAGTAGTTGGAGAAACCCTTTTTGGCAAGCACAGAGTTTCTTGCAGTTCGTTACCAGGTTTGCACTCATCTCAGGAGGGATTTTGGTCCAGTCTTCTTTACAGATCTTCTCTAAATCCTTAAGGGTTTTTGGCTGTCGCTTGGCAAGTTTCAGCTCCCTCCATACATTTTTAATAGGATTAAGGGCTGGAGACTGGCTAGACCACTCCATGACCTTAATGTGCTTCTTGAGCCACTCCTTTGTTGCCTTGGTGGTATGTTTTGGATCATTTGTTATGCTGGAAGACCCATCCACGTCCCATCTTCAGTGTTCTGGCTGAGGGACAAAGGTTCTCATCCAAGATTTTACAATACATGGCCCGTTCATTGGCCCTTCAATGCAGCAAAGTCAGTCTGTACCTTTTTAGCAGAGAAACCGCCCCAAAGCATAATGTTTCCACCTCTGTGCTTGGCTGTGGGGGTGATGTCCTTTAGGGTCATAGTCGGCATTTTTCTTCCTCCAAACATGGCGAGACAAGTTAATGCCAAAGAGCTCAATTTTGGTCTCATCAGAGCACAGCACTTTCTCCCAATCCTTCTCTGAATGATTTAGATCAGTGGTATTGAATTAGAATTCAAGGAGGTCCGGTCACTAAAATTTTCTTCTGGCTGAGGTCCGAATAGGGTGTGCCCATCAGCGTGCCCCCTTACATTACGTGTCGACATCAGAGTGCAACTTTACATCATGTATTCCCATCACATCAGGTGTGCCCATCAGAGTGCCCCACATCAGGTTTTCCCATCACATTGCCACTTTACATCAGGTATTTCCGTCAGACTGCCCCCTTACACTCAAAGTACCCCTTTCTATCGTATTTCTTCATCAGAGTGCCCCTTTACATCATATTCCCCATCAGAGTGTCCCTTTCCACAGGATGCGCCCATTTGTGCCCCCTTAACATAAAATGGGCCCGTCAGTGTCACCCTTTAACATAAAATGGGCCCATCAGTGTGTACCTTAACATAAAATGGGCCCATCACAGTGCTCCTTAACATAAAATGGGCCTATCACAGTGCCCCTTAACATAAAATAAGGGGCACTCTGATGGGCACATTTATATTAAGAGGCACTCTAATGGGCACATTTATGTTAAGGTGCACTCTGATGGGCACATTCTATATTGTGCCCATCAGAGTGCCCCTTAACATACAATGTGCCCATCAGAGTGTCCCTGTAAGACTACACCCTACCTCGAGGGCAGACAGGAGCTGTGTCGGGATCCTTGCTGAACGCTTGTGTACAGGCAGGGAGCAGGAGCTGGAGAGACAGTGAGCTGAACATGTGTTGCCATGACGACCACCCTGCTCAGTGGCAGATCTTTAATGGCGGGCTGGCGGTCCGGGCGGCAGCGCTGCTGGGGCTGTTCTCGGACCACAGTCCGCCGTTTTGTGACCGCTGATTTAGATGTTCATTGGCAAACTTCATGTGGGCCTGTACATGTGTCTTCTTGAGGAGGGGGAACTTGCATGTGCTGCAGGATTTCAATCCATGGTGGTGTATTGTGTTAAGAATGGTTTGTTTGGTGACTGTGGTCCCAACTGCCATGAGGTCATTCACAAGCTCCTTCCATGTAGTTCTGGGCTGATCCCTCACTTTTCTCATCCTCCCTACCTCATGAGGCGAAATCTTGCATGGAGCTCCAAACCGAGGGTGATTGATGGTATATCTTGTATTTCTTCCATTTGCAAATATTTGCTCCAACAGTTGTCTTTCTCACCAAGCTTCTTGCTGATGGTCTTGTAGCCCATTCCAACCTTGTGCAGGTCTACAGTCTTGTCCCTGATGTCCTCTGGCAGTTCTATGATCTTCTCCATGGTGGTAAAGTTTGAATGGAAGAACGAGATTCTGTGGACAGGTCTTTTATATACATAATGAATTGTCATTAAGAGCACCTTCCTAATTTGACAGGGATAATCTATGTACCACATGAGCACATAGCCAGTCTGTGGGAGCCAGAATTGTTGTTGGTTGGTAGGTGATCAAATACTTATTTTACTGCCTGAATTGCAGCTGAATTTATAACATTTGTAACATTATTTTTCTGGATTTTTGGTTTATATTCTGTCACTATCATTTAAAATACACCTATGATAAACATTATAGACCCTTTATTTCTTTGTAAGTGGGCAAACTTACAAAATCTGCAGGGGATCAAATCACTATTTCCCCACTTGTATGTGATATCCTTGGAATCAGATGGCTTTGTTCATTATAGTTCTAGGTAAATATTTGAGACCATTTACACAAGCACTACAAACAGCATGCGATCAGCTAATCTGGCTAGGCAATCATTACTCCATCCCAAGCAGACAGTGCTCAGCAGTACTCCGCACGGCTCGTCTGGCTAGGCAGTTATTGCCCCATCCTCAGCAGATTGTACTCAGGAACAGAGTGCATCCATATTGTGCACAATTCCAAATTGCCAGCACTTGATCCACATATGAAAGATGTTTATTAACATGGCAACTCCCTACGATAATCAAGTACCTTAAGCATCCTCGTTTTAAAGCTTAAAAATCAAGAATGAATCTAAACGAAGCAAAAGCGTGCATAGATTTCCACCTCAACATGAAGCAGCCATTTTCTTCGTTCCATGGAAAGACATGTCACCTCTCTGAACATCTCAGAAGTTCAAACATTAAAAACCTAATCCTGAACTTGCTTAGTCTGTTGATGGACCACACAATGTATATGTTTATTAACCCTGCATTAAAAAAAAAAAATTCTTTAGGGTAAGCCAGGTAGAAAACCTGCCTTATATTGCTCTGAAAGAGGCTAGGAGAAAACAAAAGCCCCTGAGTTGGAGCTTTTTTTTTGCATGAGCTGCATCAGGTTCCACATAAAATCACAACGCGATGTTGGTTCGAATTCAAAACCGGTGAATTGCATTTCTTAATTTCTATAAGCATATGGGATTATCTGGAAAAAAAGTGTTTATAAGGGGAGGCATGTAAATATCATTCAGTTTTATATTTGGCTACAACAAATAAGGCCTTCCTACTTTTCTGACTGAAAAGAACTTTAGCTGTATTAATGGTCTACCTAGGGGTAATATGGTTGTCTTAACGGTTTTTGAATCTTAGTTCTAATTCATATCCCCCACTGTCCAAACGGTTTCTCTAGTAAACTCCAGAGGTACCTCTTTAACCAATTCAATACCGGGCAATTTTACACCTTCCTGCCCAGGCCATATTTCAGGTTTCAGCGCTCTCACACTTTGAATGACAATTGCATGGTCATATAATACTGTACCCAAACTAAAATTTTATCATTTTCTTCACACAACTAGAGCTTTCTTTTGGTGGTATTTAATCACCGCTGGGGTTTTTATTTTTTGCTAAATTAAAAAAAAGTTCAAATATTTTGCAAAAAAAAAAACACGTTTTTCTTTGTTTCTGTTATAAAAGTTTACAAATAAATAATTGTTCTTCATAAATTTAGGCCAAAATGTATTCTGCTACATGTCTTTGGTGAAAATAACCCAAATTAGGATGTATTATTTATTTTGTAGGAAAGTTATAGAGTTCACAAACTATGGTATAGATCTGAAAATTGATCAAGTACTGACAGCCAATCTAATTTCTTGAGGTCCAAGAATGTCAGAACAGTACAGATATCCCCCAAATGACCCCTTTTTGTAAAGTAGACCGTCTGATGTACTTCATAAGAGGAATGGCGAGTTTTTTGAAGTTGTATTTTTTTTTTTTTGTCATTTTTCGGAAAGTGAAAAAATGTAAAAAATTATATTCACTATTTTTTTTTTTTTTTACACTGTCACCAGTGTAGTACATATATATTTTTTTTTTATTACATTTTTTTTTTTAAGATTCTTTTTCCATATTTTACTATGACCAAAGTAGTACAATGTTACCATAGTAACATTGTACTACTTTGGGGAAGTGATCAGTATTTTCTTTTTTTTTTTTTTTTTTTTACACAATTTGCTTATAGCTTAGAATTACTTTGCTATAAGCAAGCATTTACCTGAATGACATCGATTCATTCAGGTGTTTTTTTTTTTTTTTTTGTGCTTAGCTGTGATTTGGCCACAGCTAATCACATGACATGTGCATGTGATTAGCTGTGACCATTCACAGCTAGACACTAGTATACAATGGATGGCATGAATGAAGCCTTCCATTGTATACAACTGTCATGTGACCTGCTGTGATTGGTCACATGGTACCGGCAACAGGGGCCGGTACTCAGATCTGTCATCGGCCGTGGTACACGGCCGGTGATAGATTGCGCGGCTCTGCAACCATGCTTGTGCGGGAGGCTATAGGAAAGCTAATGCATTTTTGCGGCCACCAAACGGCTATAGGCCGGGCGGCAAATGGTTAACTGTATGGGATGAATGACAACTAATCGATAATAAAGTTGAATTGCCAGAACATGGCGATTCAGACCTTCAAAAAAATAAACTGTGATCAGGTCCCATTTGCTCATTAAAAAAAAAAAAAAAAAAATCACTATCATTTATTAAGTTTTATCCAGGGCATCAAATGAACCTGCCAAACTAGAGGCAGGTCATCTGCAGTATACTTGGCAATATCAGTAGATATGTTGGAAAACCGATTCATACCTGCAAGGTTGTGGACCCCACCAACACATTAAAAAGTTTCTGGTTATCCCTTCATTAATTTGGGGGATAGTTATGTAACTCTAAACTCATTATTTGTTTTTTAATAAAATAAATGCAATATGTTTAAATATAACTATAATTGTTTCATCTCTCAAATGCAATCTTTTTCTGCTAATTCCAGACTTGTTTTAGGGTGGCTTTATTTGTTCTTCATACACCCCTTGTGAATTTGAACTTAGCCATCCTTTCTTGTTGCGACTGAGATGGTACCCACATCTTTGTGCAGACAAATAGGGAAATTGTAGTAGAGATGTAGTACACACGAAGCTGAGCGTGTGACCAGAATTGAGATGCATCAGTGGAGGATAAGGAGTGTGCACAGGGCAAGAAAGAAGCCTACATACAATGGCTAGAGAGTAAAAAAAAAAAAAAACAGAACCTTGATGTGGTATACTTAATATTTTGGAATGATTTGATGTAAATAACAAAAAAAAATTAAGTTTAGGTTTAGTGTCCTCTTATACCATTACCTCACCCAAAAGGGGGAGTTCCGCTTTTTTCCTCCTCCGCCAAAAGGGGGGGGGGGGGGTGGTGGGGGGGAACGGGTATCTGTCATAATATGATTTCCGCTCCGGTCGCCAAGGCGAATGATGCGGAAGTCCAAGCTCAGCGGGATTGATGTGGATGTGGGAATGTGGTAATTTGTTTGATGGCATAAAAAAGGCATCATGTTTGGACTGCCTTACTCTATCCATAATGAAAAAATGTTTTTCTCTTATTTATGGTTCTATTTTTAAAAAAGCTTAACACTAGTAATATAAAAAGCAAAAAAAAAAAAAAATCTTAACTTTATTTACATAGGATCGTGTTCGCTTTTTTTTCTAATGTACGTTTTTACAGGATGTTTGCTAAATGATAATACCCTTTGTAACTTTTCACTGCAGCCAGAAAATCTTTTATACACATCCAAAAGACCAAATGCTGTGTTAAAGCTCACCGATTTTGGCTTCGCAAAAGAAACAACATCACATAACTCTTTGGCAACACCATGTTACACACCATATTATGTGGGTAAGTATTTTCAGTTGAATTATTAAAACCAAAGGCAACAGTTTTTTTTTTTTGTTTTTCTTACCCTTTTTTATTTTTTTTTTTATTGATGAGGTCTTCAGACTTTTACAATCTTAACTTTTTTGCTTAAACATATCTTAAATATTTACTGTACTTTGCTCTTAGCTGTAAGTCGTAGTAAAAATATTTTAGTATTGTCTAGTAGTGACGGAAGAATAAATACATTCTAACAATACATTATGACACAGTATCAGTTTTCCTCAAATTTCATTTTACCACCTTCCCTCCAGAGGATTTACCCCCCCTCCTGACCAGGCCATATTTTTTTTTTCTGTTCGGCACTGCGCTATTTCAACTTATAATTGCACAGTCGTGTGCCAAAACAAAATGTATGTCCTTTTTTCACACAAATTGAGCTTTCTTTTGGTGGTATTTGATCACCTCTGCGGTTTTTATTTTTGCTCTATAGACAGAAAATGTTTAAAATAAACAATATATTTCACTTTTGGTTATAAAAAATATCCAATAAACCCAAAGTTAGTCCAAAATTTAGGCTAAAATTTATTCTGCTAAATCTCTTTGGTAAAAAGAAAAAAAAATTAAAATTATTAATTGGTTTGTGTGAAAGTTACAGCGTCTACAAACTATGGTATATGTATTGAAATTTACTTTTACTTTCTGACATTTCTTAAGTTGCTAAAATGCCAGAACAGTACAACCCGCCCCCCCCCCAAATGACCCTTTTTGGAAAGTAGATACCCCAAGGATTTTGCAGAGAGGCATGTTGAGTCTATGGAACATTTTATTTTTTGAATATGACAATTTTTTTTTTTTACACTAAGTTGTCACTTTAATGATATATTGCTCATGCATGCCATGGTATATGTTAGAATAACACCCCAAAATGCATTCTCCTACTTCTTCCGAGTATGGGGATACCACATGTGTGAGACTTTTTTTGCAGCCTAGTTACATACAAGCTCCCAAAATCCGATGACTACCTCCATGCTTTCAAAGGGCATATTTCCTGATACCACTTCCCTGCTACCTATCACAGTTTCGGAGGCTCTAAAATGCCAGGATAGTACAATGACCCCCCCAAATGACCCCTTTTTGGAAAGTAGACACCCCAAGGAATTTGATAAGAGGCATGGTGAGTATTATACATACCGTATTTTTCGCTCCATAAGACGCACTGACCATAAGACGCACCTAGGTTTTAGAGGCGTAAAAAAAAATATTCTGAACCAATGGACTGCAGACATAGTACAGGAAATGACCAGAGACTGTGGACGCAGTACAGGAAATGACCAGAGACTGGACGCAGTACAGGAGATGACCAGAGACCGCGGACACAGTACAGGAGATGACCAGAGACTGCGGACACAGTACAGGAGATGACCAGAGACTGCGGACACAGTACAGGAGATGACCAGAGACTGCGGACACAGTACAGGAGATGACCAGAGACTGCGGACACAGTACAGGAGATGACCAGAGACTGCGGACACAGTACAGGAGATGACCAGAGACTGCGGACACAGTACAGGAGATGACCAGAGACTGCGGACACAGTACAGGAGATGACCAGAGACTGCGGACACAGTACAGGAGATGACCAGAGACTGCGGACACAGTACAGGAGATGACCAGAGACTGCGGACACAGTACAGGAGATGACCAGAGACTGCGGACACAGTACAGGAGATGACCAGAGACTGCGGACACAGTACAGGAGATGACCAGAGACTGCGGACACAGTACAGGAGATGACCAGAGACTGCGGACACAGTACCGGAGATGACGAGAGACTGCGGACACAGTACCGGAGATGACGAGAGACTGCGGACACAGTACCGGAGATGACGAGAGACTGCGGACACAGTACCGGAGATGACGAGAGACTGCGGACACAGTACCGGAGATGACGAGAGACTGCGGACACAGTACCGGAGATGACGAGAGACTGCGGACACAGTACCGGAGATGACGAGAGACTGCGGACACAGTACCGGAGATGACGAGAGACTGCGGACACAGTACCGGAGATGACGAGAGACTGCGGACACAGTACCGGAGATGACGAGAGACTGCGGACACAGTACCGGAGATGACGAGAGACTGCGGACACAGTACCGGAGATGACGAGAGACTGCGGACACAGTACCGGAGATGACGAGAGACTGCGGACACAGTACCGGAGATGACGAGAGACTGCGGACACAGTACCGGAGATGACGAGAGACTGCGGACACAGTACCGGAGATGACGAGAGACTGCGGACACAGTACCGGAGATGACGAGAGACTGCGGACACAGTACCGGAGATGACGAGAGACTGCGGACACAGTACCGGAGATGACGAGAGACTGCAGACACAGTACAGGGAAAATACCAGGGACACAGTACAGATGACCAGAGACTGCGGACCTTTGGGGAGGGAGGGGAATGGGTACCTGAATTTGACAGGTACCCGCTCCCACTTTCGCGGAGTTGTCCTTCCCTCTCGCCGGCTTCTGTGACAGCCGGGTGCCCACTGCGCATGCGCAAGAAGCGCTGCGCTTTGTGAATGGCCCGGCGCCTTCTGGGACCTGTCATGTGTCCCAGAAGACACCGTACCATTCACAAAGTGCAGCCCATGCGCAGTGGGCACCCGGCTGTCACAAAAGCCAGCACGGGAAGATTGTACTGCGCTGGAGCGAGGAACAGGTAAGGTCCTGCAGGAGAGAACAGCTGAGCGGCCGGCCTGGTATTCTGACATGGTGGCGCAAAAATACCGGACCGGCCGCTTTATATTCGCTCCATAAGACGCACTGACATTTTCCCCCCTTTTTTGGGGGGGAAAAAGTGCATCTTATGGAGCGAAAAATACGGTATATCTTTTTTTTGTCACAGGGTTTTGAAAAAAAAATGTTTTGTTTTGTTTCTTCGTTTTCCAAAAACGTGGCAACAAATAAGATCTGCAAAACATTCACCATGCCTCTTAGCAAATACCTTGGAGGGCCTACTTTCTAAAAAGGGGTCATTTGGAGGGGTTGCTTCTATTATCCTGGCATTTCAGGGCCAACATTAGAAGCTTTTGCCACACATCACCCACTCTTGAAGACCAAGCCTTGTTCACATGAAAAAACTTTTTTGTGCTAGAAAATTACTTTGAACCCCCAAACATTTTATTTATTTATTTATTCATATATATATATATATATATATATATATATATATATATATATATATTTTAAAGCAAAGGTCCTAGAGTATAAAACGGTGGGTGTTGACATTTTTTACTTCACACAGTATTTGCGCTGCAATTTTTTTTTTTTTTTTTTTTTTTTTTTTCAAATGAAAATCTTTTGGGAAAAATACACTTTTTAGAATTTTAATGCACAAAAACACAATATATTGGCCAATTGTTTGCTAAAATATAAAAGATGATGTTGCGCTGAGTAAATAGATACCAAACATGACATGCTTTAAAATTGCACATGCCCGTGCAATGGAACAAAGTACATACATTTTTATCATCGATAGGCGATGCTTTAAAAGCCTTTAACAGGTCACCAATTTATATTTACACAGGAAGTCTAGTGCTAGAATTACTGCCCTCGATCTGACATTAGCGGTGATACCTCACATGCATGGTGCAACCAGTGTTTACATACTGGCACGGGTTCAACACTTGCACATGCAGCTGTGCGCGCGCAGAAGGGGAAAGGGTGCTATTTTTTTTCTTTTAGTTATTTTGTCACCGGATCGCGGTGACAAAAGAAGGGGCCGTAAGGCCGTTTATAAACGGCCACCCTCCCCGCACTGCCACTATACGGCCGTTTTATATACAACGGCCAGACGGGAAGTGGTTAATTAGGCTCACAACTAGTCCACTTACCATTGCTCCCTTACAGGCTGTTGAGCAGAGCTATAGGTCTGGCTCAGTACAGAGTCTTTTGGACCTCTTCAATGAGACTACTGCTTCCCCCACAGAAATCAAGGGTCACACTCTGCAGCTGCTGATAGGGGTTGGCTTTCCTACTCAAACTGTGGCTGCTTTAGAAAGAAAACCAACTATAAGACATTGCACACTTTTTGTTACACCTGGAATATACTGTATTTAGCTGATTTAAACTGAAAGTTCATTGGAACTTTAACAGAGGAAAAGTAAATATTTTTTTTTCTTAGGCTACGTTCACACTAGCCTTGTGTGCAGGCGGCAGAGATTGGTTTTTTACCGCTTCCCAAACGCCTCTGCCAACTCTGCACATTACAGCCATGGTGCTGTTCTAACAGGATTTGCGTTTTTTGTGTCTTTTGCGTCGCGTTGCGTCGCGGCAAAACGGACGCCTCTGGTCGAGTCAGGAGGCTTTGAAGCCTCCTATTCTCGTCTATGGTGGGCTCTGCAAACGCCCGGCCGGCGTTTGCGGTGCGGTTGCGACGCGGTTGCGGGGCGTTTGCGGAGCGGTAACACCACTCAAATGCATTATAGGCGTTTGTGGGGCGTTAAACGCTCGGCAAACGCCTGCAACCGCCGCATTTTGCGGAGCATTTTGATTACGCTCCGCAAAACCGGACCAACGCTTGCCAAACGCTATAGGGGGTTTGGCAAGGTTGGCAAAACAACCTAGTGTGAAAGCCCTTATTAACTGATTGGTTGTTCTTGCCAATGAAACCTGGAATTTGTTTTTTGTGTCTTTTCTTTTGAGATGGAACCTTTAAACTAATTTGCATAGCGTTGGGGTGTAAAATGGGTTCTGGTGCTTGCTCTTCCAGATTATGAAAGGACAGTGGGCATTTTCCGTCCTTTGATTAGGAATCCGTAACCAGGGTTCTGGTTCATTAAAACCACCATCCAACCATTTAGGTACCTGTAAAATAGTCTTGCATGCTGCAATAAAATAATTATAATTGTAATTACGTGTGTGTGTGTGTGTTAACATCACATGCTTAATTGACAATGTGTTTTTTTTTGCTTTTTTTTGTCTCTTTTACAGCACCAGAAGTTTTAGGGCCTGAAAAATATGACAAGTCTTGCGATATGTGGTCACTTGGTGTCATCATGTATATTTTGTAAGTATTGCTAGTGTTATTATTGCTACGCGTTTACTACGTGTTCTTTATTTGTGGTTTTGTAAGACTATTTGTAAGATTGTTGTAACAGTCATTTAAAACTACTTATGATTTTTACAATATATTCTTACATACAGCATAGCTGGTTTTGCTACAGACGGGGCATGTTCCTTTTGATGTGCCCAACTTCTCTATATTTATTTCCCTCTTTCGTTCAAGATGCATAATTGAGTTTTCTTAGTTTTCACATTACCAAGCTAAAATTGCATGATGGAGTATATGGCAAATGTAAGAAAATCTAAAACTAGAAGACAAAACTTTGACATCTGATTTTAAAAAGGCATTTCAACCAGTAATATGTTTTTAATAATTTTTACTCACGTTATGATTGGGAAGTGTAGCACTTTTGTTTTTTCATCTGTCTCTTTAAGAAGTTAGTAAGGCTGCTTTCACACTGAGGAGTTTTTGAAGCGTTTTTGCGTATAAAAAAAAAAAAAAAAAAAAAAACCCGCCTGAAAAGCTCAAGAAAATTTCATTCCCTGTGTTTCTGAATGTATATCTATGCATGTTTTGACACTGAGGCATTGTGCTTGCAGTGCAGTGTAAAAACTCTTGCTTGCAGCATCTTTGAGGCATGTTTGGGGAGTTAAAAAAAAAAAAATGCCTCAAAAAACATCTCTTCCCATTGAAATGAATGGTAACCACCGCAAAAATGCTTCAAAAACGCACTGCACATGTAGGAAGGTCTGGCCTAAGCTTACTGAAAATGTCAATTCACTATTGCTAGTATACCGAAAATAGCACAAACACTTGGTAAATACCGCATAAAAAGACCTTAAAGTCAATTCACAAAAGGAAATGATTAAAATGCATGTGGTAATTTAAGTAGTGGTCCAAGCTTGCGGTATGTACTGTCAGTAATGTCATGGGTTGTTAAGGAATGGGTGGCCGCAGAGTTCCTAACAACCTATGAGTAAAAATAATACAAACAAATGTAGGTTCAGCCCCCCCCCCCCCCAAGCCCTTTGGGTCTGGTGAGGATTTTGAGGGGTACCCCCACATCCAAAATAAAAAAAAAAATGGTGTAGTCCCCACCCCCCCCCCCCCCTCCCAAAACCATACCAGACCTTTTATCCGAGCATGCAGCCCGGTAGGTCAGGGGGGGGGGGGGGGTGAGCGAGCGCCCATCCCCCCCTCCTCCTCTTTTCCTCTCAACATAGGGAGGGTGCTGTGGGGCAGGGGATCTCTTCCCCACAACCCTGGCCTGTGGTTGTGGGGGTCTGCGGGCTTATCAGAATCTGGAATGGGCCCCCCAGCTCTTGGCATCTCACACACCCTGCATGCCCCCCGTGTGAATGAGTATGGGGTACATGGTACCACTACCCATTTAAAAAAAAAAACTGTAGTGTGAAAAAAGACAGACAGTCTTTGGCAAGTCCTTTATTAAAAGAAGGAAAAAAAGAATGTCTCCTGAAGTAGATCCAACGTCAATCACGATGCCCGCCACCCGAAAAAAGAGAAAAAAGGCTATTCTCCCGACGCTGGCTCCCGACCATCTGACTGCTCTGCTGGCTTGACAGTTCCTAAATATGTAAAGGGCTGGACCATCACGTATGTGACCCTCCCCCCCGTGTGACATCATTGACCCAGCATGCCCCTGTCGATAATGTCACACGGGGGACGGGGTAACACAGGTGATGTCCCGCCCCTTACAAATTTAAGAACTGTCAAGCCAGCGGCGCAGTCAGGCGGTAGCCAGCGGCGGGAGAGGAGCCTTTTTTTTTGTTTTTTTTTTGTTTGTTTTTCGAGTCGGCGGCGGGCATCGTGATTGAAGTTGAATCTACTTCAGGGAATATTCTTTTATTTTCCTTCTTTTAATAAAGGACTTTTCAAAGACTGTCTCCTGTCTTTTTATTCACACTACAGTTTTTTTTTTTTGTGAGTGGGTAGTGGAACCATGTACCCCATACTCATTCACATTTGGGGGGAGGTTGGTCTGGATCTGGTTTCCAAATTCTGATGAGCCCCCCGCCCGCAGACCCCCACAACCACTGCCCAGGGTTGTGGGGATGAGGCCCTTGTCCCCAAAGGACGGCAAGGCATCAGGCCTGGTATGGTTCAAGGGGGGGCGCTTGCCATTTTTTTTTTTTTTTTTTGTGTGTGTGGGGGTTCACCTCAAAATCGAAGGGCTTGGTATGGATGGAGGGGGGGACCCCACACCATTTTAAATTTAATTCCCGGCAATTCTTTCTTTTACATTCAGCTGTCAGTGAGGAACCCCGTTGGCAGCTGAAACAGACGCTTGGATTTCACTACTAAAAAATACCGCATGACTCATACAATAGCTCATGCAGTATTTTAGTAGTGTTTTTTATGAATTCAAACTTTTTTTAAAAAAATGCTTTGCAGTATCCTACCGCATACTCGGATGCAGTAAGATACCGCTTAGTGAATTGTGCCCAATTGCTAGGTTTTGGGAATAAAAACTTGCCAAAAACGTGCAATTCTGCCCAATTTGAGCTACAAAAGTAAAGTCACATGTCCAGGATATTCTGCTCAAGAAACTCCTCAAAAACGCTTGTCATTTTTCTAGCGTGTTTGAGGCGAACCAGTGTGAAAGCAGCCTGAAACTAAAGCTCATCATACAGTTTTTTTTTTTTTTTTTTTTTTTTTTGTTTTTTGTTTGATTTTTTTTTTCCATCAACCAGCAGGCTACAATACACTGCAGCTGCTGATCGGGAAAAATTTTACAGCATTGACTTTTGCGACACATAGATCGAAATTGGGCCAGTCCTTGCTGAACTGGAAGATGACTAATTATGCTGGCAGCAACTACTGCTGCTCCAGCTTTGCTAGCGGTCAATCAAACTGACTCTGTGACAGTTTCCTGATCCCCTCAGAACTGTAAGTGTCCACTCCCACCTCAGAACCCTTTTAAAGAAACTCTGGCAACAGAGTATGTGTTTGGGTTTCATCAGCTACCCTTTATGTTGGAAGGTTTCTGACTACCGTATTTGCCGGCGTATAAGACGACTTTTTGACCCTTGAAAATCTTCTCAAAAGTCGGGGGTCGTCTTATACGCCGGTATATGGCATACTGACACTTTTTAGGGGGGCGGCGCGGTGCCGCCGCCGCCCCCCCCCCCCCTTCCAACGGAAGGGACACTATAAGTACAGGGGTGGGCAGGGGCTGCTGTCTCTTACCTGGCTCCGGTCCCACGACGATCCGGTCCAGGAAGCGCGGCTGCTCCTTCAGTTCGGCCACTGGATGTTCGCGCGGCTGCTCGGCTCCGCCTCCTCACCGGTGATTGGCCGCCAGAACTGTAGCTCAGGAAAGGCACACAGGCGGCCAATCACTGGCGAGGGGGCGGAGCCGAGCAGCCCCATGAAAATCGAGTGCAGGAGCAGCAGGTAAGTGTGCCGTGTAGAGGTGCTGCTGCAACCACATATGCTGGCTGCAGCAGCACCATACTAGAACAGGGTCAGCAAGTGTCATTGGTGTCAGTGGGAGGAATAGTGCTCCATCACTGATACCAATGATGGGGCACTATTCCTCCCACTGACACCAATGATGGGGCACTATTCCTCCCCACTGATACCAATGATGGGGCACTATTCCTCCCACTGACACCAATGATGGGGCACTATTCCTCCCCCCACTGACACCAACAATGGGGCACTATCCCCCCCCCCCACTGACACCAATGATGGGGCACTATTCCACCCCCCACTGACACCAATGATGGGACACCATTCCTCCCAATGACACCAATGATGGGGCACTATTCCCCCCACTGACACCAATGATGGGACACTATTCCTCCACTGACACCAATGATGGGGCACTATTCCCCCCACTGATACTAATGATGGGGCACTATTCCTGCCACTGATACCAATGATGGGGCACTATTCCTCCCACTGATACCAATGATGGGGCACTATTCCTCCCACTGACACCAATGATGGGGCACTATTCCTGCCACTGATACCAATGATGGGGCACTATTCCCCCCAGTGATACTAATGATGGGGCACTATTCCTCCCACTGATACCAATGATGGGGCACTATTCCTCCCACTGACACCGATGATGGGGGCACTATTCCTCCCACTGATACCGATGATGGGGCACTATTCCTGCCACTGATACCAATGATGGGGCACTATTCTGCCACTGATACCAATGATGGGGCACTATTCCTGCCACTGATACCAATGATGGGGCACCTATTCCCCCACTGATACTAATGATGGGGCACTATTCCTGCCACTGATACCAATGATGGGGCACTATTCCTCCCACTGATACCAATGATGGGGCACCTATTCCCCCCACTGATACTAATGATGGGGCACTATTCCTGCCACTGATACCAATGATGGGGCACTATTCCTCCCACTGATACCAATGATGGGGCACCTAATCCCCCCACTGATACTAATGATGGGCACTATTCCTCCCACTGACACCAATGATTGGGCACTATTCCTCCCACTGACACCGATGCTGGGGCACTATTGCTCCCACTGGTGTGCATTGGAAGAGGGGTAGTCTTATACGGCGAGTATAGCCCAAACACTACATTTTAGCAGGAAAAGTAGGGGGTCGTCTTATACGCCCAGTCGTCTTATACGCCGGCAAATACAGTAGATTGCCTAATATACAAGGTAGGCTCACAGATGCCTAGGGCCCTACTCCCTGCGATTCTTAATGTGAGCTTCCCTGGCACACATAGGATTGTCTGTTTTTACATAGATCTCTTACTCACTAGTTGTTTTTCCTTTGCAATATTAAACTCTCACAGTGCCAGTCTTCGTGGCCCATGGAGACCAGTGACAGCCTGGTCAAAACAATGCTTGAGACTCTGAGCTTTGAGAAGTCAGCAGCCACTTATAATAACTCCTCTTACAAGGTCAATTTTAAGAAACAAGCTCAATGCTAAGATGATTCTGTAGCAACTGGAGTTTGAAGAAAAATCTAAGTAGTGGAAACATTTTGACAATCTTTACTCCTCCAAGCTGATTTGACATATCCTATCCCTTGCCTTCCTAGAGATCCTGGTAAAGTGACTTTAATTGGTTGTAATAGACCCACCCGAGTACTAATTCCCAAAAGAAAGCCAAAACTCCTTTCTGAGGAAGCATCTCCCTCCTAATGCAGTTTTTTACTGACCAGAGGAATCAGTATGTTAACCACCACATTTTAAAGGATAAGTTCACCTTTTGGACAAAAATAATAAATGCACATATTTTTGCAGGTAAAATTTTTTATTGTTGTCCAAAGGAGCCTGTAAAGCATTGCACCAGTGATCAGTAGATCCCTAATGCCATGCAGGTCTCCTGCAGATCTGCCAGAATATCTGTTTGCCGTACGGGATGTATGAGCAAGCAGATATACTGACAGGAAGCTTCAATGAACTACCACAGCGCTCCACAGCACCATGGTAGTTCATTGAAAACTTTGAGCCGCTACGGCTGTCGGGACTTGTAGGCACAGAACACCGTGAATGAGTGACGTGGCCGTATGAGCAGGGCCCCGCAAGGCCGCTCTGTTTTCAAATCTGACAGAATACGGTAAGTTTCTCCTTACTATCTGTCAGAGGGAGGGGGTGGGGGGTCCGCGTCTATGGGAACATGTTACATGTTCCACCCTAAAAACTGATGAAACGTGTAACATGTTCCAAAGGTGAACTTATCCTTTAACTGAATATATGAAAAAAAAATAAAAACAGGCACTGTGGACTTTAAAGGTGCTGGCAGGCCAAACAAAGTAAAATATCTTTCATAATACATACTTTATTCAACATCATAATGCTCAATAAAATATATATGAAGACATAAAATAGGGTTTGACCCATACATAAATTCCCTTTTACCTTATGTTGAACCCCACTGGGTGTTATCCTTATCATATAGTATGTAGACTCTCCCAGTATGAGTGGGGGGTCCTCATAAATCTCTTATGTGCTTCTGTGTTTCATAGGATAGCCTCACTTTTTCAGGAAGACTTCAAGGGGTCCAGAATCTGAACAATTATAGAGATTAAAAAGTTCTTAATATACGTGTTATATGCACACATTATACATTCCATATTTCATAAACAGTACTAGACATATTTTACTTTTAATGGGGTCAGGCTCAAATTCACCAAAATTAAAACAGGGAGTCAAATTTCACCACCGGCGAGGTATAAATCACCACCTGAACATGTATAAATATTGCCAAAAAGAATTTGTAAGGGTTTACAGCCACTTTAAGCTTTTTAAAGTTCATATCTTTTCTTCCTTTGTCACAGACTCTGTGGATATCCACCATTTTATTCCAACCATGGACTTGCTATATCTCCAGGAATGAAGAAGAGAATCCGCATGGGGCAGTATGAATTTCCTAACCCAGAGTGGTCGGAAGTGTCTGATGAAGGTAAGGTTTTACAAAGGTTTCTTTTGGGGTGTGTCTGTGCTAAATATGCCTATGTTCAAACCATTCTGTGATTTGGTCTTTGATGGGATATCTTCCAAGTGGTTCCTATTTATTCAAAAACTTTGCTAAAATAAAGGATCGAAACCCTTACTATCTTGCTGCTGGGACAGCAATCTTGGCTTTCTTGCAGAGCAACTTGTCACTGAAATCTTGTATTTTGGGTGTGTCAGGTGCTTGCTTTTCTTGCTGGGTGTTAAGGTTTCATCCACTTGCTGCTACATGATGTAAGCTAGTGATTTATGAAAACTTAAAGCTTTCACATTAAAGCGGAAATAAAGATCCACTGTAACTCAGGCAGGCTTTGTATTTTTAGACTTTATTGCAGAAGAGACGTACACTGTTTTTTTCTATAATAACTATTACTTACACTTACCTGCCTGACCACCGGACACCTGAAATGTAGCGCTTACACAGCTCCGCATACAGCTTCCAGCCCGATCCCGTGTGCCTGGATGACCAGCTGCATACGCAGAAAGGAAGTCATCCCGTAACTGCCAATGAAGAGGCCAGAAAAGTGGCACACAAGAAGATGCATAAAATGGCCATCACCCCATTGCTATCCAAGATTTTGTCTATACGCTGACAGCTCATGTATATCCTTTACCAAGAACAAAAATGTTGTATTTTGCCGCTTACCAGTCTTTAGATGTGGTGGCTGTATTGTGTTTTTTTTTGTTTGTTTTTTTCAGTTGAAGTATATTTTATCTAAGCGCGATTTCTGCAAGAATAGAAAACACCTGTTGTTCCTTTCAGAAATCTATCCTAACTTCCTGTGCAACTAAAGTGCAGTTTCTAACAATGGCTTTAGCTCTCCCAGCTATTTTCTGTGAGCTAAAAAAAAAAAAAGTTTCCTCTATGTAACTATTTATCAGAGGTAAGATGATGTGGGAGGTGTTAGTAACCCAAATGAGGAAAGCAGCCTAGAGGGTTTATTTCCTGGATAGATAATAGATACTATATTATATTATTTTATTACAGGATACACCACAGTGCTAAACACACAAGCAGCTTGGTGGGCACAGGTTATGGGGTAATTTACACTTGTGTGTGTTTTTTACCCTGATTATCATTGTCTCGTTTACTCAGTCTTTATAGGTAATGTTGTTATAATGTTTATTTAAAAATTGGTGGTCTTTTCTTCCACCTCACTACTGGGAGCATCTCTGGCTAGTTAGGTAGACATCCTGTCTCCTGACTGTGAACTTTTGGCTGCTATTTTTTCAACACAAACTGATAATTTGTTGCCTGCACTCTTTTTGGATATTTTCATTCACGTGTGTTTTGGTTATTTTCTAGGTATGCACTTATAGTGCCTTGAAAAAGTATTCATACCCCTTGACATTCTCCACATTATGTTATGTTACAACCAAAAACGTAAATTTTTTTTATTGGGATTTTATGTGATAGACCAACACGAAGTGGAAGAAAAATGATAAATGGTTTTCAAAATTGTTTACAAATAAATATCTGAAAAGGGTGGCGTGCATTTGTATTCAGCCCCCTTTATTCTGATTCCCCTAACTAAAATCTAGTGGAACCAATTGCCTTCAGAAGTCACCTAATTAGTAAATGGTCCACCTGTGTGTAATTTAATCTCATTATAAATACAGCTGTTCTGTGAAGCCCTCAGAGGTTTGTTACAGAACATTAATGAACAAACGGCATCATGAAGGCCAAGGAACACATCAGACAGGTCAGTGATAAAATTGTGGAGATGTTTAAAGCAGGGTTAGGTTATGAAAAAAAAAAATATCCCAAACTTTGAACATCTCACGAAGCACTGTTCAATCCATCATCCCAAAATGGAGAGAGTATGGTACAACCGCAAACCTAGCAAGACATGGCCGCCACCTCAAATGACAGGCCGGGCAAGGAGGGCATTAATCAGAGAAGCAGCCAAGAGACCCTTGGTAACTCTGGAGGAGCTGCTGTGGATCTCTGCAGCTCCTCCAGAGTTACCAAGGGTCTCTTGGCTGCTTCTCTGATTAATGCCCTCCTTGCCCTGATCCACAGCTCAGGTGGGAGAATCTGTCCACAGGACAACTATTAGTCGTGCACGCCACAAATCTGGCCTTTATAGAAGAGTGGCAAGAAGAAAGCCATTGTTGAAAGCCATAAGACGTCTTGTTTGTAAGAAGCCATGTGGGGGACACAGCAAACATGTGGAAGAAGGTGCTATGGTCAGATAAGACCAAAAGTGATTTTTTTAGCCTAAAAGCAAAACACTATGTGTGACAGAAAACGAACACTGCACATCATCCTGAACACACCATCCCCACTGTGAAATGTGGTGGCAGCAGCATCATGTTGTGGGGATGCTTTTCTTCAGCAGGGACAGGAAAGCTTCAAAGTTGACGGAAGATGGGAAGATGGATGGAGCAAAATACAGGGCAATCTTAGAAGAAAACCTGTTAGAGTCTGCAAAATACTTGAGACTGGGGCGGAGGTTCACCTTCCAGCAGGACAACGACCCTAAACAGACAGCCAGAGATACAATGGAATGGTTTAGATCAAAGCATATTCATGTATTAGAATGGCCCAGTCAAAGTCCAGACCTAAATCCAATTGAGAATCTGTGGCAAGACTTGAAAATTGCTGTTTACAGTTGCTCTCCATCCAATCTGACAGAGCTTCATTTATTTTGCAAAGAGGAATGGGCAAAAATGTCACTCTCTAGATGTGCAAAGCTGGTATAGACATACCCAATAAGACTTGAAGCTGTAATTGCAGGGAAAGGTGGTTCTACAAAGTATTGACTCCGGGGGGGGGGGGGGGGGGGGGCTGAATACAAATGCATGCCACACTTTTCACATATTTATTTTTAAAAATTTGGAAAACCATTTATCATTTTCCTTCCAATTCACAATTACCGTTTTTTTCGCTCCATAAGACACACTTTTACCCTCCAAAAAAATGGGAAATGTTTGTGCGTCTTATGGAGCAAATATTGACTAGGCCTCCACCTCCCCTCCCCCCTCCGTCGCCGTGTTAGAATACTGGGCCAGCCAGCAGGGAGGGAGAGGGCCATGTCCTGAAGCTCCACTGACCCCGCCCCATGCAGCCTGTATGCTCGAGAGGGAGCTGCTGTAGTAGAAATTGTGATGCAAGTGGGTGCCCCGCCCCCGGACCTCAGAGAGGATGCTGAGCACGGCAGGCCAGGTATGTCCACCCCACCCCCCCCATAGACTGCCTGTGGACTGTTATACCAAACCCTGAGCTGTTTTTCACAAACTACATCTGTGCATTACTGAAAGAACTTGGTTCATACACTGTAATATGTCCGCAGTCTCTGGTCATCTCCTGCACTATGTCCGCAGTCTCTGGTCATCTCCTGCACTATGTCCGCAGGTCCGCAGCCTCTGGCCTTCCCCTGTACTGTGTCCGCAGCCTCTGGCCTTCCCCTGTACTGTGTCCGCAGCCTCTGGCCTTCCCCTGTACTGTGTCCGCAGCCTCTGGCCTTCCCCTGTACTGTGTCCGCAGCCTCTGGCCTTCCCCTGTACTGTGTCCGCAGCCTCTGGCCTTCCCCTGTATGTACTGTGTCCGCAGCCTCTGGCCTTCCCCTGTATGTACTGTGTCCGCAGCCTCTGGCCTTCCCCTGTATGTACTGTGTCCGCAGCCTCTGGCCTTCCCCTGTATGTACTGTGTCCGCAGCCTCTGGCCTTCCCCTGTATGTACTGTGTCCGCAGCCTCTGGCCTCCCCCCTGTATGTACTGTGTCCGCAGCCTCTGGCCTTCCCCTGTATGTACTGTGTCCGCAGCCTCTGGCCTTCCCCCTGTGTCCGCAGCCTCTGGCCTTCCCCTGTATGTACTGTGTCCGCAGCCTCTGGCCTTCCCCTGTATGTACTGTGTCCGCAGCCTCTGGCCATCCCCTGTACCTATTTAAATTGAAGAAAAAGAGAGGGGAACAAATGAACACAAAAGCATAAAGAATGCGCCAAAAAAATGTGCATGCAGAAACACATCCAGAATGCATCCGGATTGTGTTTCTATAGTGTGAACTGGCGCTCACACTGGAGCGCTGCACTTCCATTGTGTAAAAACTTCTGCTTGCAGCATGTTTGTTCAGTTAACAAAATAAACACAAAAACGCCTCTTCCCATTGAAATCAATGGAAAACGCCTGGGGAAAAATGCCTGAAAAGCACATCAAAAAACGCCTCTTAGCGGTTTTAGTGCAGTTTTTAAGTTGCATGTCCTTTTTTAAAAATGCTCAGCTCGGTAAAAACACATGCGTTTTTGCGGTGGATCAGTGTAAAAGTAGCCTTAGAAGTGAAACCGATCTTATTTTGTTAAATCAATTAATCATTAAGCACACTTGGTAACAGAAAACTCAATATTCGTGTATAAAGTCCCAAAATAAGTCCCAAAAAATCTATATTAGTGTATAAAGTCCCAAAATAATAGTCCAAAAAATCAAAATCCAAATAACTCCCAAAGAAATTATCTTTAAATCAATACTTACTTAAATCTTCGTGTCTTCAAACCGCCTTTTTTGGTGTACTCCAAAAATAAATCTTCATATACCTCAAAGAAAAAAACTCGACATAGTGCTTTATCCAAATAATATCCAAAATATAATAAAAGTGCCACACGTGTTACATGCAAAAACACTCCCGTGCCACAGCAACCGTGAGAAAAAATACCTCTGCCTTACATGTTACTCACTGCACACAAATAACAGAAGTGCATAATTACCCTCAAGGTAGTAACACAAGCCATAGATGAGATTAATTCCAACCTTTTTCCTTCAGCCTTTCCAACCACTTCCCATAGACATTAAAATAAGAACAGATCAGCTTCCATACACAAAACGATTGATTCCACAATCGAGCCTCTCCTCAGTGATGTTACAATATCCTCAGCATAGCACTTCAGAGAAGGAATATGTAATTGGTAATAAATTCCCCACTACCCATACACCTGTATGGAGGATTCCAGGGCATACACAGCCGCGTGTTCCAAGAACAAAAATGGCCGCCACAGCACTTCCGGAAGAGCGTCAGAACGTCACCACGTCACGTGCCCCGGACGCGTTTCGTCACATCCGGACTTTGTCAACAGGGATACGGACGTGTCTCCTCACTCTCCTTAAATACCATTGACCCAGGAGGTGAGGATACAGCCGCGGCCATTTTACAACCTGGAAGCCCGGACCTCCATACCCATACGGATAAGCTGCACCTAGACCAGCAATAAATCAATATCCGCCCAATATACATACACATATTTTATACAATCTACTAAAGTCCTAAAATACTATATTAGAGTACATTACATAACCATATACCCCATTACAATCAGATTTTCAAACAATGACTATTTTAACCCAAAATATAAAAACAATTAAAAAAAATAAAAAATATATAAAACATAAAAATATATAAAATATATATAAACAACAAAAAAAAAAATTATACAACCCCTACAAACCTAAATATATATTCCCTCTAACAATGCAATTTACTGATCAGAGATAAAGCAATTGAGGTCTAACTCGATATTAAGACCCCTGGGTTTCAAAGTGTTCAGCCTATAAATCCAAAAAGTTTCATTTTTAGATATCTCCTGTACCCTATTACACCCCCTCCAGTGAGATTCCAAGACATCAATACCACAAAAATTCAAAAGGCTTGGATCTGAGTCATGAAACTCACGGAAATGTTTGGATACACTGTTTTCTTTCTTCCCTTTTTTCACATTTTCAACATGTTCTTTAAGCAAACAAAGTAAGTCAGAATTATATAGGGGATGGGAAAAAAAAGGAAATTAAGAATAAGAAAAATCATGGAGTTGAGGGGAATAATGAAACTTTTTGGATTTATAGGCTGAACACTTTGAAACCCAGGGGTCTTAATATCGAGTTAGACCTCAATTGCTTTATCTCTGATCAGTAAATTGCATTGTTAAAGGGAATATATATTTAGGTTTGTAGGGGTTGTATAATTTTTTTTTTTTGTTGTTTATATATATATATTTTATATATTTTTTTTTTTATATATTTTTTTATTTTTTTAATTGTTTTTATATTTTGGGTTAAAATAGTCATTGTTTGAAAATCTGATTGTAATGGGGGGTATATGGTTATGTCATGTACTCTAATATAGTGTTTTAGGACTTTTAGTAGATTGTATAAAATGTGTGTATGTATATTGGGCGGATATTGATTTATTATGTGAATATTTTATTATGTTATTTTTCATGCCTTATAAGATAGGGGGTGGAGTAGGAGGATGGAGGATAAATTTAATCTCCATCCCTTTTTGTGAATGTTAGGGATTTTATAATATCTGATGCATGGGGCACCCTCCGGGAGAAATGGCCACTATTGAAATATATATAAAATTTGGGGGATGTTTTTTTCAATTAAATTTGTATTGGTATAATGTGAGGGCACAAGTTGGCCAGTATGAGACTGTTTGTTTTTTTCCGGTGTTTCTGCTGGTCTAGGTGCAGCTTATCCGTATGGGTATGGAGGTCCGGGCTTCCAGGTTGTAAAATGGCCGCGGCTGTATCCTCACCTCCTGGGTCAATGGTATTTAAGGAGAGTGAGGAGACACGTCCGTATCCCTGTTGACAAAGTCCGGATGTGACGAAACGCGTCCGGGGCACGTGACGTGGTGACGTTCTGACGCTCTCTTCCGGAAGTGCTGTGGCGGCCATTTTTGTTCTTGGAACACGCGGCTGTGTATGCCCTGGAATCCTCCATACAGGTGTATGGGTAGTGGGGAATTTATTACCAATTACATATTCCTTCTCTGAAGTGCTATGCTGAGGATATTGTAACATCACTGAGGAGAGGCTCGATTGTGGAATCAATCGTTTTGTGTATGGAAGCTGATCTGTTCTTATTTTAATGTCTATGGGAAGTGGTTGGAAAGGCTGAAGGAAAAAGGTTGGAATTAATCTCATCTATGGCTTGTGTTACTACCTTGAGGGTAATTATGCACTTCTGTTATTTGTGTGCAGTGAGTAACATGTAAGGCAGAGGTATTTTTTCTCACGGTTGCTGTGGCACGGGAGTGTTTTTGCATGTAACACGTGTGGCACTTTTATTATATTTTGGATATTATTTGGATAAAGCACTATGTCGAGTTTTTTTTTCTTTTGAGGTATATGAAGATTTATTTTGGAGTACACCAAAAAAGGCGGTTTGAAGACACGAAGATTTAAGAAAGTATTGATTTAAAGATAATTTCTTTGGGAGTTATTTGGATTTTGATTTTTTGGACTATTATTTTGGGACTTTATACACTAGTATAGATTTTTTGGGACTTATTTTGGGACTTTATACACGAATATTGAGTTTTCTGTTACCAAGTGTGCTTAATGATTAATTGATTTATGTATGTACTTCAGGGGAAGGATGGTTAAAGTGACTTGGTGGGGTATTATAGTGAGAGCAGGTTAGTGCTGGATACCTAATATGATCTTATTTTGTTATATTCAAATAACCTCAACTGACATATATTTGTGCCATATTAGAATATTCGAACGGTTCTGTACAATGTTTTGCTTTTCCCTTTTTATTTATTCATTTTTCTTTTCTCTTAAACTAGGTGACCTATATCTGCCTAAAGCCTTTTAAGTGTAACCTCATGCCTTACTTATTGAAATATCCACAATCTGTTGAAATTATTAACATGTTTGAATTGTCTAGAACAATTTTTTTAATTTTGCTAAATTTAAAGCTATAGGTTGTGGGCAAATGTTGGCTGCTTATGCTTTAGTATATCTTTTTCTCTCCTGAATTGTTGTGAAAGCAGTTTTAAAATTCACCACTAGAGATGTCTTTTTAGAGTCAAGTTTTCCACACACACAATTTTGTCATAAGTACAGATATATCAGGTACAGAATTCTCTTTACAATAGATTTTTATTGAATTTGTATAGAAAGTAAGAACGTAAAGATATTCATTATTCAAATTCCATCATTCAGAAATGTTCTTCATTTTTGTACATTGCCTTAAACCACACACAGTGCAAATTAGCTATAGTAATTTAACACAACCGAGAAATGAGTCATTAAAATGTCCATATTTGTAATAATATTGTAGATTACAGCAGCACTCAAAAAAAATTATACAGAAAAGAACAAAAGTAACAGGCCAGCTACTTATGAGCATGTATTATCCGTGTGTGAATTTAGCAGTGTGCCAGTATAACCATGGTTGTCAGAGTGGTGCTATTTGTGTACTTTTCCCCTTGCTGGAAGCTAACATAAGTTCATATGTACAATAATTGTTTTGGAAAAGTTAGGGGAAAGATCAGATTCCCAATGTCTCACGATCATGTATCACTCTGCCAAAAGGGAGTGTATTACAATATTTTTGAGAGAGTAATGCAGGCCATAGACGGGTTGTTTATCAGCCGAAAAATCGGTCATTCTGTTGCCACGAATGCTTACGAAAATCTTCCGTTTTTGTAGATTTTCCAGCATGACCGATAAAAAAAAAAAAAAAAAAAAAAAAAAACGAGAAGGAACCGCAAAAATTGGCCGACGACATTGCCCACTAACGGTGCGAATATGGTCCGATTTATTCTTTTGGACAAAAAATTCAGCCGATAAACGACCCATCTATGGCCTGCATAAGGGATTGCATCAATTCTCAGATTCAATATTGCTAAGCATGGCGGTGGAGCTATCAGTAGTGTTGTCGCTTCTGAAATCATTTGGAAGATTTTCCTTCAAAAGTTAGTCAGATTTTTACATGTGCGGAAGATGTCGTAGATGTCTACAGCCTCTCCAAAACTCATAAAGCTCCTAGCTTTGCCCCCCTGGTAGCGGTAACCCCCTGGTTTTTCATGGGACAAAGGTCTTTTGTTTTTGGGAACAAGGGTTTTCCTTTCATTTCCCCCTCTTCCCTTTGTAAATCATTTGACTCA